GCTACATGTCCGTTCATCCCAACACGCGTTGACTCAGTTATTTACATGTTGAAAGTGTCTGTATATTCCGCTCTTACGAAGTTAGTTTCAGCCAGTTCGTTAAACGCGTATTTTCTTTTATCAACTTAATAATCTGAGAACATTTGCTCCAATTAAAAAATTCGTTGCCCCGGATTACAGTCTCGGCCCGGAGACTGACTTTCCTGCCTGACGTTTCTCCGGAGTCCATCAGGACAGTCGCCTCGTAGCAGGTCCAGACTTTGGCTGCGAATCTCCCACGGTTCAGTGGACACTGGGCCCTCAGACGTGTCGCGAGGGGGCTTTGGTTCGTCACTCGCCTCTGTCTATGCACTGGAATGTCGGCGGCGAATGTTTAAGACGTTCTCGTCACTGACAATCTTTACGCATGCGCGGAAAAACCACATCTCCCGCAGCTGCTGCTGGATTCACACACAATTTCCAGTTCAGTTCCAGTAACGCCTGGAAACATCTTGATCAAACCCATTTGATATCGAAGTCGCCCGAGAGTCTAGAATTGAAACCCAACGTAATTTTTCTACCAAAGTCCCCCCCCCTTATATTATTTTATAATATCCTGTTGGCATCTTGTACCTCGATAACAATAGAAGATTCTTTCTTTCCTTTTTGCATGGTGGAACACAGTGATCTGTTTCGGAGGCAGAGCGTCTTTTATAACGTCGATTAAAGCTCAACAGAGTGTGTAATAACGTTCATAAAGTCATCGTAATAAATTATATAGACAGCAAATTGCCCGAGCTTCTGAAGCAAGACGTAATACGAAAGACAAACAGGAAACAGAGTAAATGGTTTGGACAGCCCGAGCCTCCGACCCCGTCATTACGCTGACAGAGCGGAGTCAGCCGCGCTCTCTGCTGACCTGCGACGGATGCAACATTGTACAACATCGATTCACGTAAGGCAGCCTCTGAAAGTGACAAGTTACTGAAATGAAACCCGAGAATGGGGACTCGGGTTCTTGTACCACTCGCACACTGGTTCGAGTCCAGCTTCAGGCACCTTTGCACTCATTTCTCTGTGCTGGTCGATCTGTGTCCGATCCCTACCCGAAGGACTTATAATTCCAGTTTAATTAAGCTAAATAATGTGGTCTTTAGGCCGAAGGAAAGCTTTTTAAAATAATATGACACTAATGAATCCGCGCTATCCAGAGACTAATCGACGTGTGGGTCTCGCGTGTGTTCGAGTCACGGTCCTAATTGAAGTCCGTGGTTCATATCCTGAGTACTCTCTTGAGTACACTGTCATCCAAGAGGTGTTCTTCAGCAGCTTCAGGG